AAAGCTGGTGGTAAATCACAAAGCATCTTTTTCTTCTGATTATCCACTTCAGGGTTGCGGTGGACTGGAGCCTATCCCAGCTGCCTTAGGGCAAGAGGTGGCTGAACATGTCGCCAATCACAGCTATGGGCAATTTAGAATCACCAGTTAACCCAACCCCACTAACTGCAAGTCTTTGGACGGTGGGAGGAGAGCCAACGCAGACTCTGCACAGTAAGGCCAGATGGTGAATTTGAAGCAGGACTCTCTTGTTGTGAGCAACAGTGCAAACCGCCATGCTGTCCCAGTTTCATCATTATTTGATCAGATTGAAGTCCACCTCCCAGGTTCTATATTACGTTAAATTGTTACATTAAATCCAAGGCCGAACTCTGGCATTTCTCCACTTGTCAGCAAGTGGCAAAGAGCACAATGTGTGTTGGATGGCTAGTTAGCAGCTAAATGTCACATTTCCACCGAACACCTTCAGACAACCAGTCGAGCTGATGCACACGAACTCGACATTAAATTAGTTTGAGTAAACATTTGAATACTGGTGGTTTAAAAAAATGTACTAGAAGAAAACGAGAACTTTAAGGTCCCTGGCCTGAGAACTGCTATAAAAGTACAACGATAGCTACTGCTAAGTGTGCCATATTACAAAAAATAACTTATTTACGTAATGCTGCCTTACACTATGATGTAAAGAATCAAACGTCTCTAAGAACCCGTTAGCATTGTACAAAGCGTTGCCGATTGAGCAGAGACTTGTACAATTGCAATGAAAACCTTTTCACAGCGGCCAAAACAGTAAGTGAACGTAGCATGCCTAGCACACGATAAATGAAAGACTGGGCCTGTGTATTGCGGCGGTAACTGGCCTGGCTGTGTGTTTTTCCTCGCATTGTCCCTGAGCTACAGGCGAATCTGACCCATGGCTTCACTTGAAATTTACAGCGTTAAATATAGTGTAACATCTGTACGGTTACTGCGGCCACCATGCACCATCATCATGTCAGCCAGCTAGCTAACAGCTAGCGAGGCCAAACACCACAGCAGTATTTTACAAAGAAGAATCAAGCAACTCGACTATAAACTCACCACTGGATGCTTTTCTGATTATCACCTCGATTAGCTTAAACTCATTCGTTGAATATTTTAAGTGCCATTTACTCTCGTCCCGATTTGGTAGCTACTCGTCCACGGGGGACCACTTCCTTTTACCTGGGCCTCTGCTACGACAAAACATTCACGTAAGCTACGCAACCGCTAGTCAAAGAGTGGCGCACCAGTCTACTAACACGGACCAGAATAGCAGTCCCCGTACCGAGCACGAAGTGTGGAGGTCCCCCTCCGACCATCTCAGGAAACCACTAACGGGTTTAACTAGACCAAAGCAACGCTGAACACCTGTGACACTGAACCTGACGCTGCCCAGTTTACAGGTTATTAATATTTCATTCTGCTGTTGGATTAATCGTTACTACT